TTCCTTTACAAAAGCCTTTAAGATTCTTGTGGACTAATTTGTGCATCTTAGTGCCTACAAAATTGGTGTTTTGTTCAGGAAGTTGTCTCCTGCACCAATGCATTCAAGGCTGTTGCCCACTTTCTCTTCTATCATGCTCAGTGTACCTAGATTCATGTTAAGGTCTTTTATCCATTTGGACCTGAGTTTTGTACATGACAATATATATAGATCTATTTGCCTTCTACATATCAACATCCAGTCTGTGAGCACCATGTTTTGAAGATGTTTTCTTTTTTGATTGTATATTTCTGGCTTCTTTATCAAGAATCTATTGTCCATAAGTGTATGGATTTATATCTGGGTCTTCAATTTGATTCCATTGGTCAATGTGCTTGTTTTTATGCCAATACAATGAGGAAGTTTTTTTTATTTTTATTTATTTTTTATTCCTGAATCTCTGTAGTAGAGCTTGAGATCTGGGAGCAGATACCTTGAGTTCTTTCATTTTGTAGGATTATTTTAGCTATCTTGATTGTTTTTTTTTTTTTTTGAGTATTGCACTTTAAGGATCTGTAAAGAATTGTGTTAGAATTTTGATGAATATTGTGTTGAATCTGTAGTTTGCTTTTAGTAGGATGGCCATTTTTTCTATGTTAAGTCTACAGATGCATGACCATAGGAGATCTATCTTCTGATATCTTCTTCAATTTCCTTCTTCAAAAACTTGAAGTTTTTTATCATACATATCATTCACTTGTTTGACTAGAGTTACTCCAAGATATTTTATATTTATTTCTGGCTACTGTGAAGGGTGTTGTTTACCTGGTTTCTTTCTCAGTGTGTTTATCACTTGTATAAAGGAGGGCTACTGATTTTTTTTTTACTTAATTTTGTATCCCACCACATTACTAAAGATGTTTATCAGCTGTAGGAGTTCCCTGGTAAAATTTTTGGGGTCATTTATGTATACAATCATATCATCTGCAAATAGCAAAAAGTTTGACTTCTTCCTTTCCAATTTGTATCCCCTCGATCTCCTTCTGTTATCTTACTGCTATAGCTAGTACTTCAAAAACTACATTGAATAGGTATGGAAAGAGCAGACAACCATGTCTTGTTCCTGATTATATATCTGATCTTGATTTAACTTTGGTAATTGGTATCTATCAAGAAAATTATCCATTTCTTTCTGATTTTCCAGTTGAGTGACATACAGGTTTTTGGAGTATGGTCTAATGATATTTAGATTTCCTCAGTGTCTGTTGCTATATCTCTCTTCATTTCTGATTTTGTTAAATTAGATATCCTTTCTCTGCCTTTTGGTTACTTTGCATAAGGGTTTGTCTATCTTATTGATTTTTCTCAAATAACCAACTCTCTTTTTTTCATTGATTCTTCATATTATTCTTTGTTTTTATTTTATTTATTTCAGCTCAGAGTTTGATTATTTCCTGCCTTCTACTTCTCTTGGGTGTGTTTGCTTCTTTTGTTCTAGAGCTTTCAGGTGTGCTGTTGAGTTGCTAGGGTGAGATCTCTGAAATTTCCTTATGAAAGCACATATTTTATTGAATTCTAGGAAGTCTTTATTATCTTTATTTCTACCTTCACGTAGTAGTCAAGAACTAAATTTATTTCTAAAAATAAACATATAACAGAACTGCCTGTGGATCTATCCATGACTTACAAAGAATCAATAGCAGCATGCAGTTTTTCTCTCAAACTGACATTAAACTCACTATGTAGCCCAGGGAGGAATAAAACATGTTTTCTCTGCATTGGTCTTGCAATTGGCTGAGATTACCAGACAGTGTTTTCCACTTGTGACTTCTTTCTGTATCATTTATATCTTTATTCCTAATTTGGGATATGTTACTATTCTCTTTGTATAGTCTCAATATGATGATGAGTTTATGGATTTAGAAAAGGTTTTGATATATTTATTTGTGATTCTGTACAGGAAGTTTTAATGAACCAAGACTTTCTAAGAGGCCTTTACTAGAAGACCAGACTTGTAGGCCAGTCTGACACTTAGGCCAGGGTCTCCCAGCAACTGAAGTTGCAGCTTCTCGGGACAGAACTCTGCTTCCCAGGCAATGGTTATCCTCCTAAGGAATCTGTTTGAAATTTCTCAAGTTCTCTTTTCAAACATTGTCTGACTTGCCTCTCTGCTAACCTTGGCCATTT